TAAGCGTTACCCCTTACAGATTCAAAGTAATACTCCCTATGAAATATGGACAGGCAGAAAGCCAAACTTGAGTCACCTAAGGTTTTTTGGCAGCCCTGTAATGGTACATATACCAAAAGAAAAACGAAGAAAATGGGATAAAAAGGTAAATGACTGAAATGACACAGAAAATGTACTTAGTAGGATATTCAGAAAATGTCAAGAGATATCGCTTGTTGGATTCTACTTCTCATGATGTCATTTTAGCCAGGGATGTTGTTGTCATGGAGAAAATAGATGACAGTTCAATAATATCTATTGTAATTGAAGAGGAAAATCAACCTGACCGAACAGCTGATGTGGTTCCTACCAGCATTTTGGATGAAGAAAATCAGAATGATAAGACATATGTTCCTGATAATTCATCAAGTGACACAGATGACAGTTATGCTGATACCGTGTCTTCGTCGCCAGGAGATGGGAATCTTGTTCATCAGCAGTGCAAAGAGCGTTTACAAGAAAAACGTGTTAGGCGCAAGCCAGACTTTTATAGCGCCGACATGTGTGTAGACATATCAGATGATGGAATTTCCTTTAGCGATGCAATAAGCGGACATGAAAAAAAACAGTGGCAGTGTGCAATGAAAGAGGAACTAAAATCCTTTCAAGAGAATGACACTTGGGAGCTAGTGGATAGACCTAAAGACCTAAAAAAGTCTAACAGTGAAAGTTGCAAAGGGCTTTACTCAGAAAAAAGGCATAGACTATAATGAGACTTTCTCCCCAGTTTTAAAATATTCTACTTTAAGATTACTATTGGCGTTAAGTATAGAACTAGGGCTGAAGTCTAATTACCTAGATGTACCCACTTATGAGACAGTGTATATGGAAATACCAGAATGCTCAGATATGACAAATTGTAATCATAAAGTTTTAAAATTAAAGAGAGCTGTCTATGGTTTGAAGCAGTCAGCTAGAGCATGGTGCCTAGTGTACCATGCTCTAACTAGTAGAAGAATGTCTATTACAGTTTAAAATATAAAAAGTCTAACTATGAACCAAGTCTGTTTGTAAAGAACGAAAAAAATGTAAAGATTTATATAGCTCTATTTGTTGATGATTTTTTTGTTTTCTATAATTGTCAGAATACTTATAAAATATTAAAGATGAGTTGGTAACAAAATTTAGAATAAAAGACTTCGGTCAGATAAAACAGTGTCTAGGAATGCATGTAAAGGTTTATAAAGATTGTATTACTGTTGACCAAAAGCAATTTATAGAATATATTCTAAAGAAATTCAATATGACAGATTGCTCTTATTCTGAAACACCTATGGAAGTAAACTTAAAATTAGAAAAGGAAGTAATCAAATCTGTTAAAACTTGATAGGCAGTTTAATGAACTTGTCTGTTCTTACCAGGCCAGACATATCTTTTAGTGTCAGTGTCTTAAGTCAGTACAATAATTTATTTAATGAAACTCTTTGGAAACATCTTTAACGTTTGTTAAAATACTTAACCAAATTATGCCTAAATAAAATTAACTGTTTAATTAAATTAAACTCGATTACAGTCACAATTTTGCCAAATGTCCTTAGTTCTAAGTCTTCAGAGAAAACATTTTTCGAACATTTATTAATACAATCTACAAAAAAGTCGCAGGACTGCCAATGTCAAGAGAAAGAAAGTAAAAATTGCCGCAAGTGCAGAGGTGATAACGCATCAGGACGTCATTGAAAGATTGAAACAGAAAGAAGACGATAAAGCCAAAAAAGAACAAGAAAAATAAGAAAAACGAAAGCAACGAGAGCAGAAAAAGAAAAATGCAATAAGTAAACACAATGAGCAAAAAGAAAAAGTGAAGCAAAGTCAGAAAAAATATTAATGGTCCGGGCCAAGGTCGGAAGCAACTCTTTCTGAAATAATACCACCTAATATAGACTTGAAACGTCTGTGAACCAATTAATCTTTTACAAAACGATTCTTCAATACTTAATTGTCTTGCCAGCTCCTCAAAATCACCACTGCCAATGTTTTCAAAACCGAAAGTTGTTATTTTAGAAGACAGATATTTAAAAGTTGATGAAAAACTGACCAAAGATGTTTTTACAGGATATAAAATGAAACGACCAGCAGACTTTACTTTACAGGTTACTGATGAAATACATACTGTTAAAAAAATGAAAAACAAAACATCAAAATAACAAGAAAAAAAAAGAAGACAGTGACTTTACGATTCATGATTCAGATGCTTCAGATATGGACCTAGAAAGTTACCGTAATATTTACTTAGCAGAACATAACTCAGATGAAGAAAACGTGTATGTAGATTTTGGGCTCACCGATATAGAGTATTTTGAAGAGGCATCAAACAAATTAAAGGAAGGTGATTGGGTTCTAGTCAAGTTTTCGGCAAAAAAAAAGTGTAAAACATTATGTTGGCCAATGATAAAATACGTACGAAAAATACAAACAAAACAAAAAGGTTTGCTTTTTGTCTATCCTAATGTGGACGACATATCGACGGTTGAAAGGCTAATTGATCTAAGCGACATTTTGTAAAACTTGCAGGAGGACGGATTAAAGTATTCTTTTTGGAAAAAAAAAATCATAAAAAAAAAACAACCATTTGATAGACTTTTATTTATTTAATACAGTATATCCCTAATTAAATAAGGATTTTTTAAGCTATTACTGTTGATAATTGTGTATTATTTTAGAAAATTTATGTTGGTTAGCCCAAAATGCATCAAATTTCGATATTTTTTTGAGAAAGGCAAAATGGTTTAAATACCTACCGTAAATAAAAATAGCTGAAAGTAAACTGGCTCAAGCATCGACTAAGAATAAAATAATACTAGAGAAAATGCTCCAAGTAAACCAACAGTTGAATATGCTCAATAAGCCTAAGCAACGTGATGGTTTTGCACCAAAGTGAAGTAGTTTGATGCAGCCCATTAGAGAGGACTGCAGGATGAAGCAAAATGAATCCTTACTAGATTACAATAGATATAGATGCTTAGGCCACCATTATTCAGCAACATCCTTAAGATATTTTTACAATATTATATACGATTTACGATATTAATACAATTTTAGACAGTGTCTTGTATATTTTTCATATAAAAAGGCGTTTAACAATCATTTTTGTGTAGAGGAATCATTCAAGATGTTGATCCAATGTACCTTGGGACAAGGTACCTATTAGATAAGATGATAATTATATCACCCTAAGCCTAGGTAGTATCACAGCATCACCACGGAATACAATAATAATTGTACTTTAGTACTTTAATTAAACAACAAATTAATTAATATTATTTATTCAAAATCAGTCTTCGACATGGACGTACCTAATTAAAATCAGTAACAATCAAACATTAATAATTAAAAAAAAAACTTTTCAGTAACTTGTGATAAAATCAGTTTGAAAAAAAAAAACAATCAAGAAAGAACACAACAATCAACAAAAAAGAAACAAAAACAACAAAACTTAACATTCTTTATCAAAAAACAATAGAAAATCGATATTCTTTAAAAGGAAAAATACAAAAATTTAAATGTTGTCGATGATAAAGAGCCCTAAGCTTCTATCCCATCTTCAATATCTGTATCTATCAGAACATCTTTACCGACGCGGTGCGGAAAGTTAGTGTATTCTAGGTGAAAAATTTTGGGAATAACCCCTGTATCACACAACTTTTTAAGATCTTTGTATTTGGCCGTAGTTATAGGCAAAGTTGTTTATACTTCGACTGCACTACCTTTGGTCTTGCAAATTATGGCAATAGAATCGATCACAGCATCTTTATCCATGCTGTATTTGACAGTCATGAAATTAGGAGACGACTTTTGAATGCCACCCGAACCTTACTAATCTTTCCGGTTAAATTGCCTTTGAAATACTTTTCTGAGAACTCTTCATAATTCATTAAATCGTTGTGCGTAAGACTTTCTACGTAATATGGGCCGGGATCTTTACGAGCCAACTGAAAACAGTTGGCCACTACGACGGTGCCCATATTATAGTATTTCTAACAGACTTTTCAATCGTGGCATGGATGCTATCGACAGTCATTTCCGTATGCCCTGGAAGCAGATAATTCATTTGTATGGTTTCAATGTGTTTTGTTTCAAGCAGTGCGCTATGTATGGCGGCTAAAACTATTTTGTTTTTATTCTGCCCTGGGCATGAGTCTGAATAAAGAATTAAATTTGTTACAGAACTACGTGAATCGACTTCAGCAATATACTTTTGTAAGATTGTTGCTATTTCATTGCCTCCTCTTTTTCCTTCGGTTTCACTCCACGTATAACAAAAGCCATTTCTGGTACCACTTACGTAAAAACAAAGGTTGTACACTGTATATTCTCTAGAATAAAATAGCAGCATACTCTCCCCATGTGGGGTGTTCAGTACCTTTTGTAGATCAAAAGAAGTACAAAGCATTGCGTTATTCTTATTGCTTAAACTTTTTTTTAAATTAATGGCCGACTCCTAAACTGAGTGAGGCGTTTTATTTTTAGGAACAGTTTTACCTCTGCTCTCCTCTTTTCACATCCCAGACGATGCATTGACTAAGGTATAACTAACATATTTTGGGCTAACACCTAAAGTGTCTACTAGAATTTCTTTACAAACCTTACGTCGGCCTTCATCATCATTAATATAGAAGAAATATGTATTGTGTCTCACACCAGAGTCCTTTGACCTTTTAGCACTTTTAGCAGTCATGCCTACTAGCCAATCTTTTTTTCTTTGGGATGGTAGTCCCAAAAATAATCAAGATATTTTTTCTTTTTCTTCGGAAACATTATTGCAGTCGTTGCCACAGTTTTTTCCTAGGCATGGATTAGGCTTAAGTGATCTTGCACTTACAATACTTCCATCTTTTTTACATACTCTTTCCTTTTTCTCGCAAGATTTTTGCTTCTTTGCGTTTATTCTTTTTTTCTTTTTCAATTCTGCTTCACCTACTTTATCGTCTTCTGATCTTACTTTTCTTTTCTTCTCTTGAGGTTCATTGCTTTCGTTTGATGACGATTCATCTCCAGTTTCTTTCCAAGAAGAAGAATCCCATACAAAGTCCTCTTCCTCAGATAGAAAATCGACATAGCTTTTATTAATTTTGTTTCTCTTGTTCCTTTTTTGTAGATTTGATTTGACCATCGTTTTTATTATTATTGTTCTCTGCTTCTATGTCATCTTCATCTGCTTCAAGGGACTTCCTCAGCAACTCCATCTCACTCTCAGCAATTACTTCCGTTAATGTAGAAATAAGTTCAGGGTCTTTTTCTTTGTAATTTTTATGTATCAGTTCGTCATCATCGTTTTCTTTTTGTGGAAATGTATCACTCGAGTTTTCCTTATTCCACACTCCTTCAGTATTCTGTCTGAAAAAAAAAATGAAATGAAAGAAATGCTATTTCCGCGCGGATGAAATCGTAGGTAAAAGCTAATATCATAGTAGGATTGACTTCCTAATAGTGTAACAACACAATCTTCATAATTTTTTATGTTTTCATTTTCTGCACTTGTAGGTACTTCAGTCTTCTGTTGAGACAACTCTTTCATTATCTGTTTCTTGAAAAACAACTGGCGTTGTGATTCCATAGTTGCTGAAATTAAATCAAAACCGATTTAAAAACATTTTATATTTTTATGTAGGCAATTCTAATGTACAATGTCTCATTATAATTGAAAAAGAGACTTAGGACCATCTAAAAGACTTAACAAGTAAGCTAACAACAATGAATTGTACCTACCTAAAGATAAAAAGGCTTTGACAAATAGAAAGCAGCGTAACGTTTTATTACACAGTTACCTAGTTATTATTTTGTGAACAAGTCACGATACGAACCTAGCTTGTATTTAATGTAGGTACCTATTGTAAATCAAAACAATGTCTTCCTTATTCTATATTCCTTTTTTTTTTTTTTTTTCCCCCCGGTTTTTAAATTTTCCCTTTTTTTTTTTCTTTTTCAATTTTTTCTTGCTTTTCAACCAAAACTTTTTTAAACCCCCGTTTTTTCTAAAAAAATTTCTTTAAACTTTTCTTTTTTTTTTTTTTTTTTTTTTTTTTTTTTTTTTTCCCCTTAAAAAAGGTTATTTTTCGGTTTAATACTTTCCCATTTTAAAAAAGTTTCTTTCCAAGAATAAAAAAATTTCCCATAAAGTTCCCTTTCAAATAAAAAAACGCTATTTTTTTATTAAATTTTTTTCCGTTTTTTTTGGGGAAAAATTTTGTTTTAAAACCACGTTTTAATTGGGTTATTGTTCCCGTTTTCCCTATTCATTTCCCTTTTTTTTTTTTTAAAGGGGGAATTCCTCAAATATTCCCTCCGCCCCGGGGAAGGGGGGAAAAAATTTTGGTTTTTCTTTTTTTTAATGAATTTGGCACCCTTTTTTTTAAAATTAAATACTGAGTTTTTTAAAACACCCCTTCGGTTTCCTTGAAAAAAGTTTTTTCCCACCCCGGGGGGAAAAATCGGGGAAACTGGGGGTGACTTCCGGCAACCCCAAATTTTTGCCGGGGGCCCTTGGGGCCCCCCGGTCCGGGGGTTTGAGTTTTATTTCGCGAAAAACACGGGGGCCAAAAGGGAAAAAAACCCCGAAAAAACCTTTTAAATGGGGCCAACAATTCCCCAAGTCCTCGGGTTTGGCCCCACAAAAGGGCCGGTGGGGGGCCAAAAACAATGTTGACACCTGGAAAAAAAAGGTTTTGGAAAAAATTAGAGAGGTAGGTTTTTCCCTTTACCAGATTTTTTGGAAAAAATTTTCCAAAAGGGGGAACCCACCGGTAAAGGATACCATTGAAATAAAAAATGGCCCCACCAACCCTTTTTTTTTTTTTTTATTGGGGGGGGTTTAGGGAGGGCCCGGGGGGGAAAAGGGGGGAATCGCCACCCCTATGCCCCCCGGGGTTTTTCCTCCCCCCCTACGCCATGGGGAACGAGGTGGGTTTCCCCCCAACCCCAGGGGCCGGGCCCGGCGCCCCCCAGAGGTCGCCCGGGGGGGGAAAAAGGGAGGGGCCCCCCCTGCAAACCCGGGGGGCGGGGAAAAAAACGGCCCCGGGATGGCCCCCCGATGGGGCCCGGAAAAAAACCCCAAAGCCGTCCCCCTTTTTACCACCGGGGGCCCTGGGGGGCAGTTGCCCCCCGACGCCCGGGTGCCCTGCCCCGTATCAGGGGGCCCAGGACCCCCTCCCCTGCCCCCCTTTCCAAAACCCTTTTGCAAAGGCCCAGGCCCCCGGGACCCCCCGGCCCATAAACCAACCGGGCCCGGGGAGACCCTCCCTTAAACCTAAAAACCGCGGCCCCCCCACCCCCTCTCCCGGGTTTTCCCCCCCGGAACCCCGTGATTAAGGGGCGGCCGTCTTCCCCCCCCAAGGAAACCCCCCCTTAAGGGGCCACCCCAAAAGAACCCTTCGTACAGGGGCCGCAGGAGGCTTTCGGGCCAAAATAATTGGGGAAGGCCCGTGTTGACGGGCCCCCGGGGGGGCTTGCCGTCCCCCGCCAAAATTTTCCACCCCGGAAAGTGGGGCAGGGAACCCACCTGGCCGTCGAGAAACCCAACCCATTTTTGGGGGAGGAATCGACAGCCGGAATTTTGGCCCCCCAAACCCCAGGGCAACCCCGGGGCCGCGCCCGTCGGGGGGCGCCCCTAAAACCTAGGCCTCCCCCTTTTGGGGCCCCCTTTCCGGAAAGGCGGTATGGGGCCCCTTGAAAACCCGCCCCGGGGGGCCCAAAAGGGCCAACGTGATTTCCCCTGGTACGGCCCCCCCCCGGGCCGTTTGGGAACCAACTTTGGCCCCCCACCCGGAAAATTTGGGGCCCACCCCCGGGGGGGGGCCCCCCCGGCCTTTCAGCCCCAACCCATTTTTGGGTAACCGATTTCCCCCCCAACCAAGGGAAATGGGCCCGGCGGCCCCCTGGGGGGAAAACGCTTAGGCCCCGATTTTTGGGGGCCCCTTCCTCCAAAGGGGTAGGGCCACCCTTGTAAAAACCGCCCCAAACGTGCCCCGGAGGTGGGGAGGCCAACTTGTGGAGCCACGCCTCAATCCAACCCCCCGGTTGGGCGGGGGCCCTAAAAGGACCCACAACCCTTTTCCCCGGGGCCCCCGGGGCCCGGTTTACCCCGCGGAAACCACCCCCCTTTCGCGAAATCCCGTAATGGGTCACCCCTTCCGAAATCCGAACGGCCCCAACTGGGGCCCGGGGGGTTTCCGGGGCCCCTCCCAAACAAAGGGCGGGGGAAAGGCGGGTGCCGGCAAACTACCCCCCCCGGGGGAACCCGTTTTCCCCCTTCCCCCAGAACTTCCCGGGCAAAAAGGGCCAAAATGCAAGGGGCCCCCAAACCCAAAGCAGGCCGGCCGGCCCTTTTCCCAAAAAGGGCCGGACGACGGGCCGCAATATTCCCTAAATTTCCCCCCCACCTCTTCCAGCGCCAAGGGCCAAACGCGGCGGAAGCCCGGGGGGGGCCCCCCCCGGGGCAGACCTTCGCCCGGCCGAAAAACCGGCCCCCCCAACCTGATTGGACCAATCAATTGGGGGTCCCTTTTTCAAAACCGGGAAAAGGGGAAACCCAAATGGGCCCCGGGGAGTATTTTTCCCCCCGGACCCGGGGAAAAGGCCCCCCCCATCGTTTTCCACCTCGGGGTTGGGGCCCCCCCCCTTAAATGGCGGCGGGCCCAAATGGGGGGGAGTTTCCCCCTTCCGGAAGAGGGTTGGCCCGCCCCACGTTTTAAATTCCCCAAAAACCCCCCCCCCCAAAAAAGGACCCCCTTTTTTAGAGTCTCCAACATCTCCCCCTAGCCCCTTTCTTCCCCTCCCCGAGGGCCCCAGCCCGGGCCTCCTTAGCCCCCGGGAAAACCTAATACAGCGCGGCTTCTTCGTCGGGAAACCCGACGAGTTTTTCCCCGGTATGGGTGTACTGGCGCCTGACTCGAACGCACGAGACGCCCCAAAATGCCCCCGATTCGGGGGGACCACCAGTACCCCGGGGGCCCCTTTCCTGGATTGTGTGGGGACCCGGGGCCCATGGACCGCCCACAAATTTTTCGTCCATTGCCCCGTAAAACCACTGCCCCTCCTTTCGACGTCGACGGGGTCCGGTCGTTCCCGACCCCCCGATCCAGGCCGGAAACAATAGGGGGCCCCCCGAGTAGCTCCCTGTCGGGGCGCCTCCCGCCCCCAGCGAGGCCCGCCCCTTTCCCCGGGGTAGACGAACTAGGGGCCGTCCGCGGTCCGGGGGAGACCCTAAAGGATGTAAGGGTTTGACCAAAAAACGTCTCCCCCCCCACATCGACCGCCAGTTGGGAAACCCCGGCCCCGCGACAGCGGGACTAGCAAAGGGAAACGTCCACTAGGAACCCCCCGCTGTGCACGCACGTGTGGGCCCCGAGCCCCGATTAAAGGGAAGGTAAACCCGGTGTGACCCCCCATTTCCCCCAAAAGGGCCTCCCCTTTGGCGTCGGTGCCCGGGGACCCCAGCCCCCAGACTGGCATTGAAAATCCCCGAGAAAGAAAGCACCGGGCGAGGGTTGTACCGGTTCCCCGAGGGAAACCAACTCCCAAGGAAGCTCTCGAAGTGGGGCCGGGTCCTGGGGGGGCGAGAAATACGCCCCAACATTTCCCAAAGGGCCGTCCACGAGGGGGGGCCCACCCACCCGTGCCCTTTCGGGACGGGTCAGAAAGAGCCCCCCCAAAATATGGCCACCGAGCCGCCCAAAGTCCCCCCCCCATTTATTTGGGGAGGGGACATAGTCGGTTCGGCGACCACAGCACATGAACCCAAACCACTCCCGCCAGCTCTGGTTTAAAGAGATTGGCCCTGGCGGGAAGGGGTTGATATTGCCCTGGGGGAAAAGGGAAATTTGGGCGCCTTTACGCACAACCCAATTCCCTGGGCACTCCGGGGCCGGGATGGGCCCGAAGAGCCCCCAACTGAGGTCAGCCTTGGGGGGCCCTCCCTTTTTTTTGCCCCTTCTTTGGGGCCCGGGGGAACCAAACGGGCCCCTTCCCCGGCCCACCCTGGGGTTCGGGGGGGTCCCCTGCAGCTGTACGGGAGGCTCGGGTTTGGCTTCGCGGGCCTGGGCCGCTCTGGGCCCCGGGCTCACCCCCAAGCGGTGCATGATCGCTGGGGTTTAAATTTGCGGCGGTGAAAACCGCCCCCCGACGTGCCCCCCCTAAAGGGGCATCGGAAAGAACCGAAACCCCCTAGGTTGCAGCAGCTTCACCCGTGCCGAAACCCCACCCACCAAAATCCGTCCGCTGTGGCTATTTTTGTTCGCCCCCCGCGCCGGGCATTTCAGCCAAAGGGTTTGCCGAGCCCAGCAGCCCCCACTAGAAAATTTCCCCCAAAAAGCCCCCCAAGTCCCCCGGGCCCGGACAGCCACTGCTTCGAGCAACGGCCGCCCAGACCTCCTCTGAAGTCGTCGAGTCGTCCGGCCACCCGACGCGCGTTCTGGGGGTTTTGACGGGCCTGGCCCACCCAAAGTTTTTTCCCTCTTTAAGGACCTCCCTAAAATTGGCGGCCGGGATGTCCCCCCTTCACCCGGGCCCGGCCCCCCGGACCCGCCACCCCCGAACACCGCCCCCCCTTTAACCCCCCGA